TTTCAACAATCTATTATTGTCACGGAGTGAGTTTTGAAAATAATATCATCACTTTCAATTCATGAAGATATTCAATGAATCAATTTAGGGAGTTTAATTTATGAAGTGGAGTTTTAGTCTGAAACAAGAATGCGGCAAATTCAAAACTTGTAATTAGATGTTAATTACCTTTTCCTTGTAGGAAGAGTCCTTTAATTAATGAGCCACGTTGCCTTGCTGGATCAAATATTGCGGGAAAACAAGATTTAGCACTCAACTTTCGAGCATCACCAGCAAAAATACCAATACATAGAGGATCCATCACATAATCAGCTATCTGAAATTAAGACAATGTTTTATTTCCCATTACCAGGTATTTCATCCAAATTTGATTGTTTAAAACAGGGGAGTCGTCACCTGCGCATGCATCAGATGGCCATAGCATGTCATTGTTTACAAACAAGCGACTACCCATGAACTTTTGCACTTTTAGCGTGTGTTGTTATCATCTCTTGGGACTCAATTCCTGCGCATACGCAGGTGACGACCCTCTCGCTTTAACTGTCAACAGCTAGAATCTCTAACCTACATGCACTAAGTAGGCAATTGTGACACTCACTTACTTACCCTGGGGGAGGGGAGGGGAGGGGAGGGCAACTCGGAGGAACAGCTGGTACACATGTTTAAGAATAAAAACATATAAAAAGGTATTTGTTTTTGAGGTAAAAACAAATAATGCATGACATGTATTTAGGATTACTTTTTCTGTAAAATTCAAAAACCCATTATAATAATGTTGCTGGTAATTTTGTTTAATCAAAGGAGTTGTAATGATATTTCATCAAAACATTTTTCGGAGACAATTAAGATCATTATGTATGAAGTTTACCTTGTTACTTCCAGATGATAGACTGACCCAAGTATTTGACCTTCAAATATCATGAAATTTGGGTATATGGGCAACATATATCAAACAGAGGTTAACAATTTTTACTGTAAATAGTGATTTTTTCAAACATAGGTACAATTTGCTAGGGTGTCTGCTTAACTAATTCTCAAGTCACTTGCTTACCTAATTGCCAACTGACTCACTCACCTTCTTCCCAACCACCTTGCATACCTCATTTCCACCAAATTACCTTGCATACCTAATTTCACCAAATTACCAACCCATTCGCCTAACTTGCAACCCTATCATTCACCTAATTCCCAACCCATTCACCTAATTCCCAACCAACTTGCATACCTCATTTCCAAACCACACACTCACCTAATCCCCAACCCATCCATTCACCAAAATACCAACCCATTCACCTAACTTCCAACCCTCTCATTCACCTAATTCCCAACCAACTCACTCACCTTCTTCACAACCAACTTGCATACCTCATTTCCAAACCACACACTCACCTAATCCCCAACTCACCCATTCACCTTATTACCAACCCATCCACC